TTGGCTCTGTTGGATGTGGGGGAAGATTCTGGCATCTTCTCACAGAAGCCACCCCTGCCACCCCCCTGCTACCAAAACCCACATAAACCCAATACAGTGGTTGACAGCTAAGTAGTCTTCAACCCACTCTTTTCACCCAAAAGGTAATCCAGATTTCTTCAAATAAACCTTTTTCCATACATTCAAATTGTTTCAGCATAGGCCTGCTGTGATCTTGCAGACAGACCAGGATTATTGTCAGGCTATCGATCTCTCCATCAGTGTATCAGGGACAGAGAGGATGGAACCTCTAAGACTACTTAAAAACATCCCAACTGTTTTCTTGTTCCACTGATTAATGAGAAGGCAGACTGTATTCACTACCACAGGAACTGTAAGTTCCTTTTTTTAGATTCATGTAGGTATTTTGTCTGTTATAACTCCACGCTTGTCCTGTGGTTTGTGGCTTCCCCGCCTAGTTACGAATGTTCTTGATTGAGTTGAATTGTGGATGTGGCTAGACATATTGCTTCCTCTTTGCTTGAATAACAGCTTCCAATGCTCCACTACAGTCTTGATATTGCTGCACAGCTCAGTACACTGTATTCAGAGCCAAGTAGGCATTTTCTTTATAGATCACTATTTTAAGGAATCTCAAACTATTATAACTGGAGTTGTTCACTCTTGTCCTCAAAGAAAATACGACTTTTGGGGAACTGTTTGATAAAATTATCTTTGTTTAATTATGAGATATTAAGCATGACAAAAAGTATTTTTTTTTTACGTTAGAAATATTTCTTGCATTTTTGCACTTCAGAAAAAAAATCAAGTACTTTTAAAAAACTCTGTATTTCTCAAAGCTACAAATTGTTCTTTCTGTCATCAGGATCATTTTCCCTATCCCCATGTACTTGGGTGGAGCACAAAAGAATATGGTTTCTGTAAACAAACAAGTTGACGCATTGCTCTGTAAACCACTAAAGAGAGCTGCAAGCACCATCACTCCCAACTCATCCAGCCTGCAAGACAGGACTGCTTCAGTTGTCTCTCTTGTTGCAAACTCTTTTTTATCTGCCACGGAGACTACTGATAACTTTCATGCAATTTAGTAAAATTCTTATTAGTTAAATTTAGAATTTACCCACTACAACGGTAAGTTTAAATTGGAAACAGTTTTTTGTATCAACTGAGCTTTCAAAGAGGGATTCTTGACTGTGACCAACTTAACACAATTTTTACTCCATTAAGTTCATTCTGCCTTTCACTTAAACAGACAAACTAACTTTGCCAGTGTACTTGTTTGGCTAAAAGGGAGATCAACTTTTATGAATGATTCCTTTCAAGGAAAGATTGATTTATATTTAAACTACTGGGTCCTCGCAGCAGTAAGCAAGAGATTACATTACATGTTCAGTTTATCAGACATTTGTAAAGCTTACCACACAGTACTAACTCCACATGTTCTACAACTGCAATAATATTTAGTTGCAGAAAATTCTTCAGTTTAAAGCCAGCATAAATATCCAAAGTATACAGTTTTCCTCCATAAAATGGATGGGCTATCACATGCACTGCAGCTATACTGGTTCTGCTGTACAATGCAATTCCTTGTCCTTGGAAACTACCCCAAATGTCTTAATCGAAGCTGTTAAGGGTAGGCACTTCCAGAATTTCAAGTGCGGACACAACTATTACTAGAAAGTATGCTTTTGGGTAGATGTTTCATTGCTACTAAGCCATCACAAAGTCAACAGTGCTTTAATGCAGCCAGCTTCTTGTCTCACTTCACACAGACATACTCTCAAAAACACTCTTAAAACTTTTGCCAGAAACAAGACTCCCACTAACAACAAACAGATATTGCTATTTGGCTTGCCCACATTAAAATTTGAATCATACTATCAACAAAAACCTATTAAAAATGCTTGTCCAGCATAGCCGTGTTAAGCACAAGAGTTAATAGCAATTTCAGGACACCTAAAAATACTCCCGATGCTATGGTACTTTGAAGCATGCTATTGAATATCCTCCCCCCTTCATCTCGACTACTGTAAGGAATTGCGCAGCTGGTTAACTGAGAATACAATAGTCTTGTATTTGGACAGAAATCATCTTGCAACAGCAGTCATTTGGAATTGATCAAACTTTAAATCAGACTACACGTATGAGACCTGGTTTTCTCAAAAACGCTTTGTACTAAAGCTAGTTTATCCAAGGTGTTCAGCGATTCAGATCCAGAAGGGTGTAACTTCAGTTCAGCCTGCAGCATGCTGTAGGAGTCACACACTATGTGCTGGAATGTTTGCACAAACACTTAGAGGAGTCAGTCTTTCTTGTTCACAGCATCAGCATGCAGAAGACAATTTAGGCAGCACTGGGTGAGATCACTTTGCAGTGGTTCAGGTTATTCAATCCACAGAGGACCCAACCTTTTACGCCTGGTAATTACTAATCCACCCCACACACGTGCAAGTAAGTATGTATGTATAGTTCCATAGGGTTGCATCCCATCTCCAGCTCGGTTCTGCATTTATTATGTATGCATCTGCCTAGGCAGGCTACTTTTTGTGCTGTATTTGGATTCTGTAGTTTCCTCATTCTCCCAACACCAACCTGAACTGAGATCATGTCTGAGAACCAGCAGATACAGGCTCAGGGAAATGATACTGCAAGGCAGAAAAAGCACAGAGTAACTCCTGGAAGTTTGCAAACCTACTCTTCACTGGCTTACTAATTCAAGATCTTATTAAATATCGCTGCTTGGAGACTGCCCAGGGATAGCAATGACTCAAAGTACTCCCTGCCTTAAAAGTTCTGGTGCTTGACCCAGTTCTTACAAAAAAAAAAAATAGGACATCAATTGAATTCCTAACCTTACATTTCAGCTCACTAGCAACAGGATGCTTGTGGCTCTCAAAAAGCCTTGGCTCTGTAAAACATAATAATCCAGCTTGTGAGCCAAGTAACTGCTACTTCCAACAGCCCTGCTGGTAAGGTTAACTAGGTCTCTCACGTGTGCAGTTTCCATGATAGCAATGGGATTCTCATGTGCTCAAGTGCCATGTCCTTGGCAGCAGCATGGCAGCAGTTCCCTTCTCTCCAGAAAGCTCAGGTTTTCTTCAGAGACACTCCCCAGTAGTTCTTTCAGTTGCCGCAAACTTGCCACCTTTTTAAAGTGTGGGAATCAACTGCAGGTCAGGCTGATTGGGTGCTACCTAACCCACTTCTGCTTAGTGATGAAGAGTACACCCCACCACAAGCCCTGTTCAGAAGGCAATTTAGGCCTTTAAAAATGTAATTTTAATTTTTTGCTGGTTTATTTGGTAGAAATCAGTGACGTATTTCCTTTAACCACCCTTAAGAACAATTCACCAACGTCTGAACCCCTCCCCCTTTATATTTTCATGAATGACGAGTTATGCATCTCCCCCAATACAGAAGTTACTATGAAGGCTACTCAGTGCTCCTTGATAATGTGATTTTGAAAAATTGCTATTTCTTTCTAGGTTTTTCTGTAAGGGTACAATTTTGGCAAAATACAATAGCTCGAGAGCTGATGGCACAGCTTTTCTGCTGCATGAAAAGAGGCCTATCAGAAACTTGATCACAGCTGAGTGATTTTCAGACTAGTTTTCAGCCAGCTCCGAAATGTTACTTTTATCCAGTATCTGCTTTAAATCATACCGGCTTGCCCCTCTGCTATCTGAGAACAGCCAGGCTAATACCGCTTCACAGACCTCAGCCTCTACAGTAAGGTACCTGAAATACTAAGACTCTGATCCTTTGGCTGATGAGAAATTTTGAATCCATGTTTAATTCTCTTAAGCCTGGAGACACAGATACACATATACTGTTGCATCTTCATTGTTTTAATTTTTCTTTCATGCATTACTAAATATGAAATTGGATTGCTGCTTACATTCATCTACTGAAAATTTGTTTCTGAATACTTAACAGGAGACTGCATTTCCTCCACCGATGTATTCTTTGCTTGCTTGCTTGCTTGGCCACTTCATACTCCACGTAACAAAATCTTCCAGATCATTTCACAGGTGCTTTGATCTGGTGCCTAAATTTACAGTAACAGAAAAGAATGCTGCTCTCTGAGATGTACAGCACACATCACCCTTAGCTTTAGAACGCAGATATGGTCCTTCCTCTGCCTGCCAAGCCATAATTTCCTCCTTTTTTCTAACAGCTGTGACTTTGGGTATTCGAGACATAACCTTAATTCTCCTGCATATACGAGGTTGCTTTGTTAATGACCAGAGAATGTTGGGCTTGCCAGCGGCCCTCCTCAAATACTTTAGCCTCCAAGAACAGGATGCTAGTCAATACAGTAACTTTAGAAAAAAGCTGTGACTCACTCTTGCTTCTCTGGCAAACTCAGTTGAGAATGTTTTATTTCCCCAGTGCTTCCTCTAATTTGGAGCAGGACAACAATATCACAGATGGGCCAACGCGTATTGTCTACTGATCTTATTTTTGATGCAGGTATTTTGGGATTGTTATAGTAAGAAGTATTTTTTTTTCCCTTTATACAAGAGGAGAAATGGAATATCCCGAAGGGCACCAGTAAACTGGCCCTTGGCCTTGGAATCACAGGCGATTAATCATTCCCTTCAGACATGCTTATGAGAGTTGTCTGTGCTGGCTTACTTTAACTTACTCTGCACTACACTTGGAAGCCTCAGAGAGCACTGCAGGCACTGCCAATTCTTAAGTAGGACTGGCCAACAAGAGCGTAAGATGCCGTGTCTGAGTGCAGTTATCTTCAGTTATCGAAGTACACAACTGCCCAGGACAGCTATTTCAGAGCATACCCTTCTCCCCAGGTCCCGTCACAGAGGCTGTGCTCCTTTGCAGCCTAACTACAAATGCAAACCTCTGCTGCACGGCACGCCGTTAGGCGCTCTTGGTAACGGATCTTTGAAGTATTTTGGTTCAAGCTCTTGTCAGAATTGAGCCATACAACTAAAAGAAGCAGCTGAAGCATGTAACCATGCAGAAAGCCACTTTACAGGAAAAGCAGAAACAAATCCTCCGCAGATACCATTTCCCTGTGGGAGGATCTGTTGCCTGGATGGACCTCCGCGCTTGAAACCCTTCTGCCGGCACGGGGACAGAGGCCCTGGAGGGCAAACCAGCTGCAGGCTCGTGGCGAGCGGGCAGGAGAGCCGCAGTGCAGGACCGCGGCGGCCGGTGTGCCCCAGCGGGCTGGCGGGGAGTTAACAGCGAGGCCACAGCGGCGGCGGGCAAAGCCAGGCCGGCCCCCGAAGCCGGCCCCGGGCGAGCGCCG